AGGTACTGGATAGAGAGACCGGGATGGTTTTTAATGTGAAGACAACACAACAACAATACCCTATCTCAACTTCATCGACTTAAACCCATGTCTCTCANTTGTTTTCTTGTATTTTATCGCTCTGCTGACCCTTGGGGTCCATTTTATTTTGGTATACCTTTTCTAGGTACGTTAGCCTGTGACCACGGAAATTGGCCGAGTCAAGTGATGGATTAGTACGGAGAGATTGAGACAGAAGGAGGTACTGGATAGAGAGACCGGGATGGTTTTTAATGTGAAGACAACACAACAACAATACCCTATCTCAACTTCATCGACTTAAACCCATGTCTCTCAGCTTGGTGTTCAAACGACAATTTCAAAGCTTCCCTCAATTTTTCCTTCAATGGTATACTACAGGGATATTAAGGTACATACCAACGAAGTCAAATGTTTGCAAGACATGCGCATCAGTACATCCCTCCATTTGTGCTCGAATATCGATATCCTGTGCTACTTCTAGAAGACTTTCCCCGCTAGAGGTAATCCAACATTCCTTCGCAGCAATACCAACTTTTGCGCATTCTTCACGCCAGATCGTGTGTAAACAAGGCCGGATACCAACCAGGACTGCGTTTTGTAATACCACACGGTCTACAGCATTAGACCCACAGCAGCAGACCCCGAAACGTTCCGATCCATCCGAGTTCCGATAATTATAATTCCGAGAACGCCAGGAACCGTCCGAGGAACAATCATTGAAGGAGGCGTTTTCGCACTCACAGCGCTGCTGTACATTGTACGTGTAGGTTTGTTTATTCGCATTTTCAACCCGACCAACTCTCTCTTGCTCACTCTTCAGCCCTGCAGCCCCTTGTACAATTCACACACAAACACACGGTGCACCACGCCAAGGTAAGAAGAGCCACACTAGATTTCGGTCGCATCGAGGGGGCCGTCACGCACACTGCACTACAGCAGTAAGCAGAGATGCGAGGAACTCGGACAAATCAACCATATTGCGCTCATGCCTCTCCGTGCTCCCTCGCTGCACCTTCAGGTTGTGCAGCTCGAGACACGACACGTAAGCCTCAGTTTCGCTGATGACACATGGTGTGCTTCGTTGTCTATGCCTTGCCAAGCACACCGAACTTTGTGCGTGTCTCATGCTGGTTACCTCTTCAGGTTGCAGGTGTTGAGCACACGAACCCGAAATACCACACAGCAGGTCACCTCGCAAGGAGCGGCGGTGTGCAGTTTGGCAACCAGCACTCTTCACGACGAAGCGATGCCACCCGTTGCCCAGCAAGCAGCCACACACGAGCAAGGCATGACGCGTTGCAAGAGTGTGAGTCGAAGGCTCTATTGTACCTACTAGGGTACTGTCCCACGTAGGTATATTATTCGCAGGAACATCATCGTCGGACGCACTAAAATAGTAGATAGATCTAGTCTAGATAATTGTTAAGGTTTTTTTCGACACAATTTTTCAGTGTTTTCTTCGATTTTTTTCGAACATGTGCATCCGTGGACAAAACCTGAGGTCTGTGTTGACGATAGCAGGTCACGGGGGCTGAAACGCACAGAACATACTGTATGCAATGCTATATGTAGCGTGTGATCTGCACACCAGAAATACGCGATTCACAGGACTGTATGATACACACAGCCTCTTGCCCTCCCTCTGCTGTGCAGCAGACGGGTATTGCGACCTTTCTTTTTATGTTTGTCACTGCAGGAAAAAGTAACTCGTCGACGTACACAGCGTCAAGGCATGTTAGTCTATGCACTGCTGCTGTCCCAAGCAGCTGCTGTCCCACGAAACATGCACCCATCACACTACTACACACAGCTGTTTTGTAGATTACGACAACGAAGGTACACAGCTTATACAGTAATTCTGCACCCCCACAGTTCACGGTTCTGCATAATAACGTGTGCACCAGGATTTTGAATGTGGGTAGCAGACATGCAAGCGGGCTACGTGTGGTCACCCACCAACAGCATCACACGCAAGCGGGTCCTCGTCCAACGAATCAACAATCAAGAGCGATATGCAGGTCGCCTTCTTCGTGAAAGTACCTCTATCGTAGCGTTCAAAGTCGGCCCGAGTATTGTATGTGCCCACTGCTGCAACACGTGCAAACTAGAGTTCTGCACTGTTCTCGCATCCACGACTGTCAATGACATCTACACTACACATCGACATCTCCGAGCTACGTCTGATGATGCTATTACTGTTCGGACGGACATACAATGAAATAGGACAAACGACACCGATTGCGCAAGAACGACCAAAATCGTGCATATGATCATGCTCGGAACAAATTGGCGGTAAATGCGAAGAAGCGTTCCACGACTGACTGCCACCCCTAGACCTACACATTCGCTGCAATCCGTCCGTAAAATTATGTCGAAATCATGGAACCGCGAAGGGGTTCTGCAGATGAGAACAGATTGCCTGCAGAAAAGACTTGGAGCGAGCACCCACTCGTGACAAGCCTTCCCAACCCTAACGAGGACGTACGGTAGGAAGAAGAGCATACTATCATGCAGCTGACCGAAGCTCAGCTGGCCGCGGCCACGGCCGTAGACTCGGAGAAGGCGGTGAAGGAGTTCGTTTGCTACGACAGCAGCGCCACGCTCGACTCGTTGCCGACTCTTACCCTCTCGCGAGTTTGCCACCACGATGGTGCCTCTATCGAGGACATGGACCGCGCCGGACTGTTCGCCATGGCCCTTCCTCTGGTAACCGCGCTGGGCGTCGCTACATCCGCGGAGGCGACGGACGTTTTTCGCAGCGCGGAAGCTCAGGAAAAAGGGGCGACGGGCTCGCTGGCGGCCAAGCAGGTGATCGGGACTCGGGCGTTCATGGGAGAGATTATCGATTTGCTGCGTGAACATGTGAAGGCGACGGCGGGATGTCTTGTGCAACCAGCCGCGCGTTCGTCAGGTAAGGCACCCGCGCGGGGCGTGGGATCGGCCGCACCGGCGCCGACGCCAGCTCCAGCACCGGCACCCGCGGCGTCTGCCACGGCCACAGCACGAGCTCTACCTACAGCGGGAGCGGCTGCTGCACCCGCCCCTGCGGCCGCTCCTGCAGACAAACCCGGACCCGCATCAGCGGCGGCTGCGGCCGCTGCAGCCGCCTCGGCCTCGATCTCGACGACGGCGCAACAGCAGAAAGCCACGAATCACAAGGTTATGCTGGCGGCGGATGCGGAATGCATGACTCTCATCAAATCGTCACACGGCAATCCGGAGGTGAGTGCAAGCGCTGATAACGACACTCGGAAATATATTTGCGATTCCTCTGGGATAGTTCTGAGCACCGTTCTTCGCCGCTCGCAATTGCACCTGATTTCGTGTCACAATTCACAAGTTAATTGTGGAGGGAAACACGTCCCTTGTTGCTCGAAATTGCACACGATTTCGTTTCGTAATAATTCGGAAGAGGTATGCATCCCATTGATTCGTTGCGTGTCATTAACCGAAGGACAACAAGTATGTATTTCGCCCGTACCTGGTCACGTTAATAGTCTGGAACAGTTTAACGTACAGCACTTTATTTACGTCCATATACCACGACCGTGTCGTCCCTTGATACGACAAGTGGGCGGGCCCCTGCATCGCAAAATACTGACGATGAATTGTGACGGGAAGTACGTCCCTCGTCGCTCGAAATTGCACACGATTTCGTTTCGTAAAAGACGGATATTTGGCGGGAAAAGTAACAAAAAATGGTCACTTACGTGCTGGACCGCCGTGCCCACTGCTTGGAGGAGTGCCGGCGAAATATATTCGATTCAATCCCGATTTGCGAGTCCATGACGAATGGTTGCGATGCGTTGCGCTTTTATGATTAACAGTGGGGATGCGTGCGCGTTAGGCCATCCCTCGAAACGACGAACGGTTGGGATGCGTTGCGCGTTTATGACTAACGGTTGGGATGCGTACGCGTTAAGCCATCCTTCGAAACGACGAAATCACCGCGGTATCACGCTTCGTTCCTCATTAAGAAGGGCAAAACGGTCAGTTCGTTGAGACATTGCCGCATTTTGCCCACGATCAAATCTCTTAGGAAATATCAGGTTGGTTTGCGCGTTTATTGCGAATGGTTGGGATGCGTGCGTGTTAGGCCATCCCTCGAAACGACGCAGCCATCGCGGTATCAAGCCTCGTACCTCATTTCGAACGGCAAACGGCCAGTTTACTGAGATATTGCCGCATTTTGGGCACGTACAGATCTCTCACGAATATGACGTTTATTTACAGTTTGCGCGTTTATTGCGAATGATTGAGATGCATGCGCGTTAGGCCATCCCTCGAAACGACGAAGTCCTCGTGGACACGAACACCGCGGTATCAAGCCTCTCGCTCCTCATTACGAACGGCAAAACGGTCAGTTTATTGAGATATTGCCGAATTTTGGGCACGAACAGAGCTTTTACGAACAATGAGGTTTACTTACGGTTTGCGCGTTTATTGCGAATGGTTGGGATGCGTGCGCGTTAGGCCATCCCTCGAAACGACGAAGTCCCCGGGGAAACAAACACCGCGGTATCAAGCCTCGCTCCTCATTACGAATGGCAAAACGCGTTTGCGACCATCCATCGGAAGGGCGACTTTCCTGCAAAATCTCGATTTTTACTACTGAGATTTGGGATGGGATGCGTGCGCGTTGTCGCCATCCCCGGAATGACGCATTTCCCGTGAAAACGATGAAGCTCCCGCGAAATCCAGATTGATCACGAATGGTTGAGAGGCGTATCTTTCATTCGACTCGTTCCACATCTCCTTTGATTTCGATGCGTACTCGATTGTCACCGTCCCGATTGCCCTCGAAATAACGACTAGCTCGGAGGTGTCCACGCTTTGGTCATTTCCCGAAACTACGATTACCCGCGGGATAAGCACGATTCTCGCGAACGTCAGGCTTCACGGGAAACCACGGACGCACATCTTCGATGCGATCCATTCCCGTCCCAGGTTCTCGCGGCGTTTTCGATCGTCATGCAAGTTACACGTAATACCGGCAACGTGCATACGTGGACTGCGCTGCGGGCGAGCTTGACGGAAGCGCAAACCATCATGATGGCTGTGGAAGAACCGGCTGCGAAGCAACAAATTACCCCAGACACCATCGCGCGGGGCGATCGCCTCACCCATACACTGACGCCGACCATGGGATCGATGGCTCCCGCGGCCGTGTTGAAAATGTTTGCCAACCTTCTTCCCGAAGCCCACGGGGTCGATAATGAGTTGCACTCGGCGGATTTGGTACGTGTTCGGCAGCTTTACGGTGCCATCGGCGGTAGTCAAGTCGGTAGTGGTATCGGGAATGCCCTCACTATGGAGCTGACGCCGACTTTTATGGGACCGGCCGTGACTACCCCGTTTCCCCAAGTAGCCATCGGTAGTGGGGTTCTTGGCCTCGGCGCCCAACCCCTCGGGATGCCGCAGCAACAGCCACCGATGGCTGCCGGATTGGGGACTACGCCGCGTGTCCCTCGGCAATCTCGCCGGCAGCCGAGGGCGCAGATGGTGCCGGCCGCCGCCCAGCCTACGGGGCCAGGGGCCGGGGCGGGGCACTATACCCCGGGACCGGCCGGTCGGACCGGGGGAGGTCGGGGGCGTGTAGCTGGTTCAGGGGTCGCCGGGACACCGCCGGTAGGCATGTCCCAAAGCCAATACCATATGTTAGTGCAAGTGCGCAACAACCGCAATGCCGCCCTCCAACAGCAGCAGTTGGGGATCCCCGGCGTTCCGACGGGGGGGGACCTGTGTCGACAGTACCAAGTCACTAACCGCGGTGTAAGGAGGGCGGCCATAGAATCAACGCGTGCCCGAATCAGTGGGCTCCACCGTAATGGTATTTGAGCCTTCGGCTCGTTGGAGTTTCGCATCATACTAGCTGCGTTGGGTTGAGTATCAAGCGAGGATTCTATATGAAGGGAGCAGAGCCCACTTTATGATCATGTTCACTTTGCGTTTGCGGAACATTCTATTACGGAGGGATGGGGCCGTGTCCGTGCTTGGTGCGGCCGCGGTAGGCCGGTAGAGGGCCCACGCGACATGTGCGTCATGTTATTGACGTTTCCAGAATATCTTTCGCTTGGACGTTCGCAGAACATTTCAATATGTTTCTGACGTTTGTAGAACATTTCAACATTCGCTGAGACGCTTGCAGAACATTTCGACATTCGCTGAGCGATCCCATTCGCAGTTGGCTTTCAACCTGGGTAGGTTGTAGGGTCACGTGTACGGACATTGTCATATGCATGTATTACTGCGATAATCAGCCCGGAGTGTCCTTGTATCTTCTCTGCTTGCGTCCGCCATGTCTCT